AGGAATAGATAAGATTCAGTATACCAAATCTTATACTGCAGATAGTATTTCAAGATTTACTAATTTACAGATTCAAATAGTTATTGATCATTTCACTAAAAACTCTGTGATAGAATTCACTGATCATTCTTCTGATGCTTACTCGAAACTGAGATTAATAAAGAAGCTAAAGTTTGTTTTATTTTTTTATTCTCAGTTTTAACTTTTATATTCTCAGCTTTAAGTTTGACATTTCCAGTCTTGATTTTAGAATTCTCCCTTCTAAGTTCTGCAATTATGACAATAAGCTTTGAATTTAATTCTTGTAATGAAACAGTTTTAGATAAGTCTTTAGTTTTTTCTTTCTGTATTCGCATATTTAATATTATATTATATAACTTTATTACAAATGCTCAGAAAAAGATTTTTATTAACCATGTCTTGGCTATGTCTGCACAAAGTGCTGAAAAATGTTTTGTTATTCTAATGCTTTTTAATTTCAATTATTTTTATAAGATATCTTTTTGAGTGAACCAAACCAGAAGTTATGTGATAAAATTTCACAGAACAATGTTCATCAAAAAATACCAAGAAAAATTTTAAAAATTCTTGATCATATATAAGTTATACATCAATATTAATATAATAAATAAATTCACAAAATACATATGCAAAAGTAAACTGGTCATGTATGCGAAATTGAGCCACCAGGGCTAGCTTTATTGTTATAAAAAATAAATACAGAATGCAAAATAAAAACAAATTACATTTCTACTAATTTTATGGAGTAAAAACTATTGAACTATCTTCATTACTATCATTGATTCCAGAATTAAATAGCAAAGACAGATCAACAATCAAAATTCTCTGTAATTAAAAAAGATTTAGATAATTATTTTCAGAATAATATGACATATAATATAAATGAATACATACTTATAGCAACAATAAAGCTTCTATTAACTCAAATATAACTTTTTTATTATTTGTATATTGTATCAAAATAATAACCGATCTTAAGAGAAAAAGATAGCTTATATTGTCATCATCATGAATAAAGATATATAGATCAAATTTCTGTCCCACAACCTGAAATTCAAAAATACTGAACTCATTCTTTTCTTCTAATTTATATCCTCTATTCATCTAATATAAGCTATCATTAAGCTCTTGCCACAATTTTACCTTATCATCATCTTCTTTAGTGTTATTACAAACAATGCGTAAATATTTACTAAACACTAGTTCATAGATTCTATCTATATGCTTCACTATGAACATAATGTCTGAATGCTTTTCTCTCTCTCCCCTTCTGTCCTTGCTAGCTAAACTTTGCCGTTTCACTTTGCAATAAAAAAAAATTAATAAAAAAACATTCTTAGAAAAAAATAAAAAGTTTACTTATGTGCTAATATACGCAAATTTTCCAATTGGCAAATTTTTTAATGTGGCTTGAATAATAGGAACAATAATATCTGCTACATATATCTTTTCGCTTTGTGTTTTAGCAAATTTAGAAGTAAAAGCTAGATTTTTCCAGATCTCTCCTCTATGATATAAAAAAATATTATTGTTATTTAATCTTATAAATTAGTTAATATTTGATATTATACTTACAAAGTCTCAAGTATTCCAACTGAAATATCTTTAAGAACCTCTTCACTCTCTCTCCAATTCTTATAAGAAAGTTTTTGTGAAGGTATCTCTGTAGAGCCATTGTCATAGTTTGTTAAAAAATTATTACATACTGTTTCAATTAAGGGAGGAAGAGATATCTTCATCTTTTTTGCCAGTTTCTAATAATTTATATTTCATTAATTTTAAGCATATTCGACACCATGTAAAGATAAATTTTATCTATAAACACAATTGAAATAGATTTATTCTTACTATAAAAGACACATATTCTTTTTTTAGTAATTGTTTAACCTTCTTTGCTTCACTACTAAGAACCTGACTTGCAAGTGGATCATGCCATGAAAGTTTTGAGAACTTAACCTTACCTATTATCTTTCGTAAAGGTTTGGCATACTGTGCTTCACTTTTTTTAAGGTTCCCTTTTAATACTCGCAAATTAGTTTCAATCGTCTTGGTGGATAAATCCTCCTGTCTAGCATCCTCAAAATCCTGAAGACTATGTACTCCTTTGAAACTATCATCAAACTAACACAGAGAAAAAAATTTAAATTATACTGTATATTGCTATTATGAATAATTATTCTAAAGTTGTGTGCACACATATCAGATTTTTATCATGCAATATTATCAACCATGTGTGGCTAGTACATAGATAATAAATTACATGGTATAACAGCTAAAATTGCTTGGTAAATATTTGTCTTAAATTATCTTTTACGATCGAGGGCTCTTCATCCATTGCCTAAGAAATGACTGAATACGCAATTATATACTCCGGTAATGTAATATAAAGAAAATCACAAATAGTATTATACAATAAAGTCATGTTGTGTAGTTAATTTGAGATATAAAAGTAACAGGCTTGTTAATATAATAAAAACCGAATCACTATAAAGCAACAAACAACAATAAATTTGAGATACTGCCCTTTTATATATTTTTCTTTTACCTCTTCTCTGAAACCTGAAAGGTTAGAAAAGTTAGATAGAAGAAAATATATGTGCTCTTACATCAAAAAATTTCTATGATAGAAATTGAGATATAATTTTCATGTAGAGAAATTTTTATCGATGATGCAAAAGAATTCTATAAATTATGTAGGTATATGTATCACAAGTTATAGAGCCATGTAGGGTTAAAATCATTATTAAGGGACATAATACTCCATAGTACATGCATACATTGTGCCTAAAATAAATTCAAAACATATATGGTATAAGTTAATTGACCAACTTTGGTTAGTGGCTAATTCTGATAAATTTCAATTTCTAATTATGCCCCGTCTCACAAATTAGTTATACATAACGATAAGCTAGTAGGGTGATATAGATAAATTCTTACGTACCCGGAACTATTCTAACACATGTTAAATGGATATCTTTGTTATGTGAGCGAAATTATGAAAAATTATATATCGATTCTGATTTATTTTTACTAAACGTTAATTATCCGAGAATTATTGTTATTACATTCACACCGCTTATATATTCCATTCGCTACTTTTTTGCACATTTTGCAATATAGATGCAAATGATGGTTGTATTCATTACAAACCTTACACCTGTGCTTCTAGCTTCTAAAGATATGCCACTTTTCAAAGTGATTTTGTCTTTTTTTATTTGTTAATTGCATTATCGCTATTTGGATTTTTCATTATTATATATTACAGAAAAAATAATATATACATAGCTAAAAAATTTTTTATTATACAAATCTGTAATATGTGGCAGTTATGTTTATGATCAATTTACAAACAAATTATACATGCATCTTATAGAGGTTGTACAATATGTGTCTTAAAATTATATAAATTATGCATAAGCCATAAGGTAGTTTTGATGATATGTACTACATGGACCTCAAACTGAAAGATCATAATAACTTTTAATTTTGATTATATAGCAATGAAGTTTCGCTTCGAATTTATGACCAGACACATTTAAAAATCAAATAATAATAGAATATAACTTTATTATAAGAATAAAAATGGGCTAGGGCGAGCTAAGTAAAAAACTCAAGAGTAGTGGATATTTAAAGGAAGGAATCACTCAAGCCCTAACCTATCCCTTAATATGTAGACCAACGCAGGCAAATTTGCCTGCGTTTTTTGTACTTTTTTAGCTCTGATTTACTTTTTTAAAATGCTAAAATATTTAAATAAAACTTTGTATAATTATAT